TTAATCGCCCTCCATCCGAGAATGCTCCAGGCGATTTACAGCTAAATTACAAAAGATAAAATATATACATACAAAAATTAAAAATTAACAGAGATCGAATGCTCTAGTGAAAAGCCAGGTGTCTGAAGTGCGAGAGTAAAAGGCCCTAAGTCACGCATGGCTCTCATGTAGGGTGGCAAGGAATTCCACAAGGCAGGGGCAGAAATGGAAAAAGCCCACCTGCGCCTGGTCCTTTCCAAGGGCACTTCTCTAGGACCCAGTATATGAAGTAAGTCACGTTGGGATGATCGTTGTGACCTCCAATGATGGGAGAAGGAGAGGCGGTCCCTAAGGTACGATGGTCCCTGGCCGTCAAGAGTTTTAACGGTCAGAACTAGCATCTTAGACAGGCCACGGGACTCAGTTGGAAGCCAATGTAAATGTTGCAGCACTGGTGTTCTATGGCATTTCATGGGCGTTCTTGTGAGTAACCTGGTCTACGACCCGAAAGCTCCGTATTGTTCAGAATGCGGCAGCCAGGTTACTCACAAGAACGTCCATGAAATGCCATAGAACACCAGTGCTGCAACATTTACATTGGCTTCCAATTCTGGGCACCACAATTCAAGAGAGATATTGACTCTAAGCTGGAATGTGTCCGGAGGGGGGCGACTCAAATGATCAAGGGTCTGGAGAACAAGCCCTATGAGGAGCGGCTTAAGGAGCTGGGCATGTTTAGCCTGAAGAAGAGAAGGCTGAGAGTGAAGTCAATACGGACTTTTAGGAGGGTCTCCCCAGTAAGGAAGACCCCTAGGACCGCACCGAAGAGGGTCCCTGAACTTTGGCGAGGACAGAGAAGACGAATTCCAGCGACGAAAAATATTAAAAATAATAAAAATCTCACCAAAGTGGAAGAAGATAGCTGTTGGGGTTCAGCCTGAGTTTGAACTTGAACCTGATTCTCTGTTTGTTCCTCCTGATGCTAATGAAAATATATTTACTGATGCTAATGAAAATGTACCTCTTGATGCCAATGCTCCTGAAATTAGTGAGGAAGAAACTTCTATAGATTTGGAAAATGCCAATGTTCCTGAAATTAGTGAGGAAGGAACTTCTGTAGGTTTGGAAAATGAAAGTACCAGTGTTCATGAGAATGTTTCAGAGGGAAGCCATGACCTTTCACTCCCTTCTGCACCTGGTAACTTTAATGAGAACAGAAGGGGGCAGATTTGGCAAGACAGAAGTAAATCACTCAGCTTGCAAAGGTCTTCTCGAATTAAAGAATTACAAACATTGGCTTCAAAGCAGAGGGGCGGTTCACAGAACCAATTCTTGGGCTTTAATTGCCTTCCGCCGGGCTGACTTTCTCAGTTCAGGCATCGCTTTAGATTGATGAAGACCTTGGCAGTTCTCCCGGTTTCCCTGGCTATGGTCTTGAAAGATTTCTAGGATATCAAGTACGGTTAGTGGATTGCTAACAGGTTCCAGTATTTCACAGTGAGGCTTTTGGTTTTGCTTTGTCCATTTAAATTCATGTTTGCTGATTTTGCTGCGGCTTTTGACTTGCATTTTTCCTTTATTTTGTAATCATTTTTCTTCAATAAAAAAGGATTGTTTTTCACAGTCAAGTGTGGTGGATAATTATCTTAGGGCCTCGTTCCCTGCTCTGGATCGCAACAATGGCGACCGAGGCTCTTTATTAGCAATTCAGCTGGATCGGATGCAATTGCAGGGATAGCTCACCCACAAGCATGCCGTTACAGAGTTTTGCAAGCATTTTATAGACAAAACACGTACAGCGATTTCAAATTTCCCGCCCGCCCTTCCCCGCCCGGCTTCTTGCTGATTGGCTGGTGGCTCGAACAGCTGGGAGGAGGCTTGGCGGCCCGCCCTCCGCCCGAGCCAATCGCAAGGCTTCCCCGCCTCTGGAGAGCCAATCAGAACACTTCTCTTGCTTCTGGGGATTGACGAATGAGGGAAGAGGAGGCGGGACAATCACGGACAATGGAGGGCGATGGGATTATGACACTTTGTAAGAATCGGCCAGCTGAGGCATTGAGGCATTGTTTTGTTGATACCTGGTTGATTGAATTAAGAAGAGTTTTCCTGTCCCTGATCTGATAAGAAGAGGTTTGCTTTGTGTGCCAGGCGAAAAAGACAGAACTGGCACAAAAGACTCCCTGGCGGGCAGCCTAGCCAGTATTGTTTGGAATAATCAAAACTTGCCATTGGGGAAGCTTCCTTTGACCAGACCAACTCAGAAAATCAAAGAAAAACTCCCCTAGTTATTGTCCATGCTGATGTTTGTGGAAGGTTGGTTTTGAGGGAGACAACAGCCCCCTCAGGCACTGAAATGTTTCCTGGTTGCTTTTCTGGGACAAGGGGCAAGGGCAATACAGAAGGGCATATAATATTTCATACGAAAACATATACATTTAAAGCATAACCATTTCATAGCAACAAAGATCCCATCCCCGTCCCATGTCCCAATGATATTTAATAAAAGAATTGATTTTATTTGGAGACTTTGAGTCCAATGTTCTTGAAGAGAATCCAAGATAAATGATGCTTCCTGAAGTCCAAGTCAGGCAACAGAAAAGTCCTTGACTTTGCAAAGGTTAACAGATGGGGCTCTGGCCAGGCCGCCATGGATCCACGTCTTGGTCCTTGGGAAACTACAATCTCTTCCCAAAGGGCCCCCTGGCCAGGCTTCTCTCCAAAATCCCATGGGGGAACCGCATCAAGTCCCCGGGTCCGGAGCCAGGCAGGGGCGAGCAGCAGCGAGGAGCGGTCGAGTTGTTTACATGGAACCGGCGTTTTTGACAATCAGCTGTTTTCTAATAAAATATATTCTCAAAAATAAAGAGGTTATTTCTCGGGCGTAGGGATCCAAAATGAAAAAAGCGAGATAGCAGATAGGTTTAGAACTTAGCACAGAAAAATATGACATTAAAATGGAGCCGATACGCCATTTTATGATTTCGTGGATACCGAGATCCGAAAGGAGAAATCCCGTATCCGCGGTTTCATAAAACGCAGATTCGGCGTCCCCGGAACACCAGGAAGGCATTCCGGGCAGGCCCGCGGTTCCCCGGAGCCTGGAAAAGGTTAACTTCATGCAGTTTTTGTGGTTCAGGCAAGGAAAGACACAAAGTATCAAGCTGAAAAGTTAAAAGTTGCAATTTCAAGTACCTTTATTAGGGGAATAGCTACAATGTTAGGGCTTGGGGGAAAGTGATAGAAAGGCATAGAGGCTGAGTGCAGTCCTAGCTTGAGCTGTCTGTTGGGGCACATTTCATCAGTTTGTCCCAATTGTGACTTCCAGGAACTGCAGAACTTTCCGCTGTGGGTCAAACCAACTTGAAGGCGGGGGGCTCCGCTGTCCTCGATGACAACTGGAGACATGATGAGGGCCATGTATAAATATGTGAGAGGAAGCCACAGGGAGGAGGAGGGAGCAAGCTTGTTTTCTGCTTCCCTGGAGACTAGGACGCAATGGAGCAATGGCTTCAAACTACAAGAGAGGAGATTCCATCTGAACATGAGGAAGAACTTCCTGACTGTGAGAGCCGTTCAGCAGTGGAACTCTCTGCCCCGGAGTGTGGTGGAGGCTCCTTCTTTGGAAGCTTTGAAGCAGAGGCTGGATGGCCATCTGTCAGGGGTGATTTGAATGCAATATTCCTGCTTCTTGGCAGGGGGTTGGACTGGATGACCCAGGAGGACTCTTCCAACTCTAGGATTCTAGGATTCTATGTGTAGGAGTCTGATGGTTGCGCAAATGTACTTTGTGAATGCTCAGGACAGAGCTTGACCAATGCAATTTGTTTCTGGACTATTTATTTATCGTGTCATCAGCAACCAGATCATTGTGTTACATTTCTAACAGAACAAAACAAACAAACAGAGAGAAAAAAAGCACCAATTTTGCAAGCTTGGTAGTTGATTAAATGTCCTTTGACCAGTATCTGGCCACTTGGAGTGCCTCTGGTGTTGCCGCAAGAAGGTCCTCCATTGTGCATCATGTGGCAGGGCTCCGGTTGCATTGCAGCAGGTGGTCAGTGGTTTGCTCTTCTCCACACTTGCATGTCGTGGACTCCACTTTGTGGCCCCATTTCATGAGGTTGGCTCTGCATCTCGTGGTGCCAGAGCACAGACTGTTCAGCGCCTTCCAAGTTGCCCCGTCTTCTGTGTGCCCAGGGGGGAGTCTCTCATCTGGTATTACCCACGGATTGGGGTGCTGGGTTTGAGCCTGCCACTTTTGGACTCTCGCTTGCTGAGGTGTTCCAGCGAGTGTCTCTGTAGATCTAAGAAAACTATTTATTGATTTAAGTCGTTGACGTGCTGCCTGATACCAAACAGGGGATGGGCTGGAGATGTCTCTGCCTTGGTCCTTTCACTATTGGCTGCCACTTCCCGGCGGATGTCAGGTGGTGCGATTACCGGCTAAGCAGTGTAATTTCTCCAGTGGTGTAGGGCGCAGACGCCCCGTGATAATGCAGCATGTCTCATTAAGAGCCACATCCACTGTTTTAGCGTGGTGAGATGTGTTCCACACTGGGCATGCAGACTCAGCAGCAGAGTGGCATAGCACAAGGGCAGATGTCTTCACTGTGTCTGGTTGTGATCCCCAGGTTGTGCCAGTCAGCTTTCGTATGATATTGTTTCTAGCGCCCACTTTTTGCTTGATGTTCAGGCAGTGCTTCTTGTAGGTCAGAGCACGGTCCAGAGTGACTCCCAGGTATTTGGGTGCGCTGCAATGTTTCTGGACTAAACCTTGGCTTTGATGGCTGCAATGCAAAAGATGTAGAGTTGTTCTCAATTCCGGCCGAGGTGGGGGAAAAAAAACCCTTTCCACTTCATTTGTGGTTTCGACGTCAGCATGCCATGCAGCCTAGCCATGCGCTCTATGCTCCCAGCATCATTCCAAGAGTGCCCAAGTCCCGTTTGTCAGGCTACATTGTTCATCATGCATCTGTTGCAATAGATTTGCACAAATTGTAGCCCAGGTATTTGGCACTCCCCTGTCCTTGTCCCTCTTGCAGGCGCCTTATTTCCATGTCCGTGCTTCTGTGACGGAGGCTTCGCCTGCAGGAAATGAGCAACTTGGGTGAAGCTGAAACAGGAACTTGGGTGAGACTCACTTCGCAGCAGAAACGGAGGTCCCAGTAAACAACTACCGTTCCGTGGAAGCAAGGCCCCCAAAGCAAGGTACCCAACGTTGTCAATATGAGATGGTGGCATTGGGTTGACAGCACAGCGTTGTCATTGGTAAAGCAAGGAAGTTGGTTGCTCTCAAATAGTTATGTTGGGGCAGTTGGTTGGTCTCGGATGGTCATTCTCTATGGATGTTGGGATTTTAGCAGTGCTTTCCTCCCCGGCTGTGGGGCTGGGGCCCAAATGTGGCCCCAAAGAGGCAGGTGAAGGTGCCACGTGGGGGAGAAACAGGGTTGGTTGGCCTTTCTGTGGCCATTTCCAATTGAGATTTCCAATGCAATACCCTGGACCAGCCAAGCTTTCATGGCAAGTAGGCTAGAGCAGTGTTCCTCAACCTTCCTAATGCAGACCCCTCAATACAGTTCCTCATGTTGTGATGACTCCCAACCATAAAATTATTTTCGTTTCTCCTTCACAACTGTAATTTTGCTACTGTTATGAATCGTAAAGTAAATATCTGATATGCAGAATGTACCAAATTTGGCACAAATACCCAATACGCCCAAATCTGAATACTGGTGCGGTTGAGGGGGATTGACTTACTCATTTGGGAGTTGTAGTTGCTGGGATTTATACTTCACCTAAAATCAAACAGTATTCTGAACTCCACCAATGATGGAATTGAACCAATCTTGGCACACAGGACTGCCATGACCAACAGAAAATACTGAAAGGGCCTGGTGGGCATTGACCTTGAGTTTGGGAGTTGTAGTTCACCTACGTCCAGAGAGCACTGTGGACTCAAACAATGATGGATCTGGATCAAACTTGTCACAAATGCTCAATATGCCCAAACGTGAACACTGGTTGAGTATGGGGGAAATAGACCTTGATATTTGGGAGTTATAGTTGCAGGGAGGAGGGAGCAAGCTTCCTTTCAGCTTCTCTGGAGACTAGGACGCAGTGGAACAATGGCTTCAAACTACAGGAAAGAAAGGAGATTCCATCTGAACATGAGGAAGAACTTCCTGACTGTGAGAGCCGTTCAGCAGTGGAACTCTCTGCCCCGGAGGGAGTGTGGTGGAGGCTCTTTCTTTGGAAGCTTTGAAACAGAGGCTGGATGGCCATCTGTCAGGGGTGCTTTGAATGCAATATTCCTGTTTCTGGATGGCCCATGTGGTCTCTTCCAACTCTTTGATTCTATGATTCTATGAGTACACAGACAGAAGCAAGGCTTCCCTCTTTTTCAACTCCGGCACCTGGAGGCTGTGCTCGACTTGGCCATGGGAGGCGCTGTTGTTCCATTTTTCCACGTTGATGAGCCTGTTGTTCATGGATGCCTTCCTAATCAAATTGCCTAATCAAATTGCCAGCATGTCTTTCAGGGGCACCTTTTATCTCCCCACCAAAGCGGTACTTGTGGGGCCGAGCAGGTGTCCCCCAATAACACCTTCTGAGAGCAACCCCAGGGTCACTGTAAGACAGTCCCTCCAAGTCCTATTCCTGCAAGGCGTCCCAGAAGGATACCATGCAAACACAGTGTTTTCTGTTGGTCATGGAGGTTCTGTGTGGGGAGTTTGGCCTAGTTCTATCCTTGGAGGGGTTTAGAATGCTCTTTGATTGTAGGTGAACTATAAATCCCAGCAACTACAACTCCCAAATGTCAAGGTCTATTTCCCCCATACTCCAGCCCTGTTCACATTTGGGCATACTGAGTATTCGTGCCAAGTTTGGTCCAGATCCATCATTGTCTGAGTCCACAGTGCTCTCTGGATGTGGTTGAACTACAACTCCCCAACTCAAGGTCAATGCCCATCAAACCCTTCCAGTATTTTCTCTTGGTCACAGGGGTTCTGTGTAGGAAGTTTGGCCCAGTTCTATCCTTGGTGGGGTTCAGAATGCTCTTTGATTGTAGGTGAACTATAAATCCCTGCAACTACAACTCCTAAATGTCAAGGTCTATTTTCCTCAAACTCCACCGGTGTTCACATTTGGGCATATTGAGTATTTGTGCCAAGTTTGGTCCAGATCCATCCTTGTTTGAGTCCACATTGCTCTCTGGATGTGGTTGAACTACAACTCCCAAACTCAAGGTCAATGCCTGCCAAACTCTTCCAGTATTTTTTGTTGGTCATGGGCATTCTGTGTGCCAAATCATTTGGGCATATTGAGTATCTGTGCCAAGTTTGGTCCAGATCCATCATTGTTTGAGTCTACATTGCTCTCTGGATGTGGTTGAACTACAACTCCCAAACTCAAGGTCAATGCCCGCCAAACCCTTCCAGTATTTTTGTTGGTCATGGGCATTCTGTGTGCCAAATCATTTGGGTATATTGAGTATCTGTGCCAAGTTTGGTCCAGATCCATCATTGTTTGAGTCTACATTGCTCTCTGGATGTGGTTGAACTACAACTCCCAAACTCAAGGTCAATGCCCACCAAACCCTTCCAGTATTTTTTGTTAGTCATGGGCGTTCTGTGTGCCAAATTTGGTTGAACCCATCATTGATGTAGTTCAGAATGCTCTTTGATGGTAGGTGAACTACAAATTCCAACAACTACAACTCCCAAATGTCAAGGTTGATAAGAGTCCTCATTAATGGCTGTGATTCCAGCGTTTCTGTCCTGGAGCCAAAGCTTTTCTATATTCTTAATCAATTAATTAGATGATGAAGTGGAGGGGATCCTTACCACACCCACAGATGATGCACAACCAGGAGGGACCACTAACAGGTTGGAATATAGTGACAGTATTAGAAAGGATCTTGTTAAAACCAGAATTAAAAGGGCTGATTCTCGATTCGGATCAAGTTCCCTTTGATGCTTCATGCTCAGCTTTTCGCCTGAGAGTTGCAAGATGGGCCACTTCCTTCTTGAGGACCGGAAGCTTCATGGTTTGCAGGGAGATGCACTGCAAAGATTTTGCAAGCCTCCTTTGCTTCCTCTCGCTGTCTTGTAAACACTTGCAAAACCCATTCACTCAAATGTATTTGTGATATCTATTTAAAAGCACCCCGTTTTCAGAGATGTTTACATCTGAAAAATGTGTGTCTTGTAATTCCTTTTTAGCATCAAACTCGGTGCATCTACACTGTAGAATCGATGCAGTTCAACACCGCTTGAACTGCAATGGCTCAGTGCTGGGAAATGTAGTCTTACAAGGTCTTGAGTCTGCTCTACCATAAATTTTATATAGTTTTCTTAATGAGAAATCATCAGAAAATTGTGGAGTTTTTTTTTGCCAGTTCTTTCCTACAGAATCTATTATTTGTTGGTTGTCTCCCATCCAATTAGTGGCCAGGCCTGACCCTGCTTAGCTTGCAAAACCAGATGGAATCAGGTGTGTGTGTGTGTTCCTTTAAGTCACCTGTCAAGTTAAGGTCAACTTCATAAATTTCAGAGAGTTTTCTTAGGCTCAAAACTGCATTATTTCTACAGTGTAGCCACACCCAAAGAGACCAAACGCCTCCTTTTAAGTCAGTGACTTCCAACTTTTGGGAAAACTACAAATCCCATTGTTCTATTGTACTGTGCCAATGCAGTGGAGTATTTTTAGAGACATGTATATTTAAAACACATTTTCTGGGCAGCGTGAAGGAAAGCAGCAACACCAGTATGGGTGTGGGTGGGTGAGTGTACTACAAATCCCAGCATGATGCATACATCTCTCTCCCACAGATGTGGAAGGCGGTGGTGGGACACAACGTCTCCGTCAAAGTGGAGTCCCAAGGAGACGACTGGGACACCGACCCCGACTTTGTGGTGAGTTCTCCTGGTTAGAATCGTAGAATTCTTGAGTTCGAAGGGACCCCCAGATGCCATCCAGTCCAACCCTCTTTTGCCAGGAAGGAAGACACAAACCAAGCACTCTTGATGTTGTGGCTCAGTCTGAGCCTGAGTCTGAGACTGGACTGTCTGGGCCTTCTGAGCCTGACTTTTTGCAGGATGACGAGGAGGCTGATGGTGTTGGGGTTCAGCCTGTGTGTGAACCTGAACCTGATCCTCTGACTGTATTTCCCGATGCTAATGAGGATGTTGATTCTGAAATCAATGTAGAAGAAACTCCTGCAGCCTTGGAAAGCGAAAGTCCAAATTCCTATGAGAATATTTCAGAGCCAAGCGGTGAACTTTCACTCCCTTTTGGCTCTTCAGAGAATCTGACACCTGGGCTCTCTAATGAGGATAGGAGAGGGCAGATTTGGCAGAGCAGGGGAGAATCGCAAGGTTTACGAAGGTCAGCTAGATTGAGAGAAATACGAACAAGGCCTTCAAAGCCTTCAGGCGTGTCACATAATAGATTTCTCGGCTTTAAGTGCCTCCCGCCTGGATGCATCTTCAGGACAGGCATCGTTTCAGATTCATGTGCAGACTCTTGCAGTTCTCCTGCTTCTAGTGACTTTGTTCCAAGGAGTTTTTCCAATGCTTCAAGTACGGTTAGTGGTTTGCTAACAGGTTCCAGGATTTAGCAGTGTTACTGTGGGTTTTTGATCTTGTTCATGGACATTTCTTGTTGCTGATTTTTACTGTGGCTTTTTACCTTGCATATTTCCTCTATTTTTGTATTCCTCTTTCATCAATGAAAAGGAATGTTTTTCCTGAAGTCAAGTGTGGTGGATTGTTGTCTTAGGGTCCAGTTTCCTGCTCTGGGTTGCAACAGATGGGTTACAGATTTCTGTACATGTGGCTTCTGAAGAAGAAACAGCAAGCCTGTTCCCCGGAGAAAGGAATGTGCCTTTAGATAAAGATAGTGAAACTCCACAACTGCAGGTGGAGACTCCTTTTGGTTCCCAGAGTGATCCGGCCCAGCTGGGCCAAGATAAGGAGTTGTATAGCCTTGAAGATAATGGTGAAATAATGAGCAGACAGGATCGTTTACAATTAAGAGTTCGCAGAAGCACATGCCTTGCCAGCAAGCGTGAAGCCAAAGGTCAATGCAATGCTTTCATGTCAGGGAAATTTATTTAATGATGTAGCCGACAAGCATTTCCTGTCAGTCCAATGTTGCTCTTTCCCTGTTAACTTCTGTGGAATTACCTTGGCTTTTGCGGAATGCTTCTGGCTTCTTTGAGACTTGGATTTTGTTCCTGATTTCATCTGTCTACCATGGACTCTTGTTTGACCATAGCTAAGGGATTATGCTTCATGTTATTTGCCTGTAGATCTTGGGAACCTTGCCTTTGCATTTAAGATTCTGTTTTGCCTATTGAACTTTTGCATCTTTATTTCTCTGTTTGGATTTTGCTTTTTCTCAATAAACTACAAAACCTACAGCCTTGGTGTGTGGTGGTGTTTTGAGCAAGGTGAAGTTGTGACAACTGACAGATGTCCACCTGGCGTCGGCTTCAAAACTCCAGACAGCATATAATTCCACTAGTGTTGAAAGGGACTCCCCCAAAGGCCATCCAGTCCAACCCTTCTGCCATTTAGGGAGACACCATCAAAGCTCTCCTAACAGATGGTCATTCAGCCTCTGTTGGGAAACCTCCAGAGATGGAAAGCGACTCCACCAGACTACCAGGCAGTCTGTATTCCATTAGTATTGGAAGGGACCTCCAAAGGCCATCTAGTCCAACCCCATGCGATGTGGACGAAGCACAATCAAAGCCTTCCTGACAGATGGCCATCCATATTGTGCTTTAAAACCTCCAGAGATTAGATTCGTAATCAGAAGCAGATTTCCCCATCAGTCTGCTTGGACAGTCAGGAATGTAGATGCAGCCCAGGGTCTGAATCCCTGTTTGGTCACGGAAGCCCACTTAGTGACCTCAGGCAGGTCACAGTCTCTCAGCCTCAGAGGAAGACAATGGCAATGACCAAATCGTACCAAGGATGCCCAATGATAGGCCTATGTAGAGGTCACTGTAAGTTGGAAATAGCTTGGACTCCTTTATTTCCCGAATATCAACACTGGGCACTCTCTCCTGATTTCTGTTTTGCAGAACGACATCTCTGAGAAAGAGCAACGCTGGGGCGCAAAGACCATCGAAGGCTCCGGCCGCAAGGAGCACATCGAGTGAGTGCTTGCTTCCGCCTTTCCCCTCAATCCCTTCTCTTTAATGTTTTGTGGGTTTTGCATTGTACTCTTTGGGCTGCTTTGGGTCTCGATCAAGAGAGAAAAGCAGAGTACTGCCATTAACAACAACAACAACAGGTCTGTGTTACTGTTGTCGGGCAATTTAGAGTGGGTGTGGATAGAGAGATCCAAGCCATTGTGGGTTGCCTGGTGAAAAAAGAAGCCGGTATTCCAGAATTTAACTAATTTACGACACCATAAAACCTTCCAGCAGCGTGCATAAGAATGAGGAAGTGCTCCATCAAGGACTCGGTGTCACAAGTGGATGATAAAGTGGGAGCTCCCCTTGTGGCTGGAAACACGAGTTTCATTCATAATCTCATGTTGAAAAGAAAGCCACCGAGGTTTTATTTCACTCCATTTGAAAAGGATGACGATTGCAGTAGCCTGCCAAAAAATCGACATGCCCACTGGGCAGAGAAATATAATATATATAGCCTTCAGATTCAAAAGTTTTCATGACCACCCCCCACCCCGCAAGTTGGCTTTGTTATGATTGGCTGTGACATCAGCAAGCCAGGAGGAGATCCAATGAGGGCCCTGGCCCTGCTTTTGGCCACCCAGCCAATAAGGTGGAAGGGAGGCAGACAACAAGGAAACAATGAAGAAATAGGTTGTTGTAGGTTTTTTCGGGCTATATGGCCATGGTCCAGAGGCATTCTCTCCTGACGTTTCGCCTGCATCTATAGCAAGCATCCTCAGAGGTAGTGAGGTCTGTTGGAACTAGGAAAAACTGTGGAATGATGTCCAGGGTGGGACAAAGGACTCTTGCCTGCTGGAGCTAGGTGGGAATGTTTCAACTGACCACCTTGATTAGCATTTGATGGCCTGGCAGTTTTTTGGTGTGGCTTGTTAGTGCCTTGGGGGGGGGGGGGAGAGAAAACAATCAGGGACAGCTAATCACCTCTCAAAAAAGATTTTCTCAGGCAATAACAAGCCACACCAAAAAATTGCCAGGCCATCAAATGCTAATCATTTAGGCGCCACCTATATGTAGAACTGTAAGTTGCAGAATTTGAACTGTTGTATCATGCCTGATTTTGCCTTTTTACCCTGGAGATGTATAGTTTGATTGATTGGTTATTTATAGCTGTCAATCAACGTTGTTTGCACCAGTTGAATTGCTCCTCCTGCTCAATTGTTTGACTCCACCTCTTCCTAGAGAGCAGGATAGTGTTTCCTTTTCCATTCCACCATCAAACTTTCTATCAGATGGACGTGAGAGAGAGACTTGGCTCTAAAAGCCCTCAATTAAGTTACCTCTCAGCACCAATTCTGAGGGTCTTACCCTTGAGACTTATTGTTGGGGTTCAGCCTGAGTTTGAACTTGAACCTGATTCTCTGTTTGTTCCTCCTGATGCTAATGAAAATACATTTACTGATGCTAATGAAAATGTACTTCCTGATGCTAATGAAAATGTACTTCTTGATGTCAATGCTCCTGAAATTAGTGAGGAAGAAACTTCTGTAGATTTGGAAAATGAAAGTATCAGTGTTCATGAGAATGTTTCAGAGGGAGACCTTGAACTTTCCCTCCCTTCTGCACCTATTAACTGTAATGAGAATAGAAGGGGCCAGATCTGGCAAGACAGGAGTGAATCACTCAGCTTGCGAAGGTCTTCCAGATTAAAAGAAATACAAACAACGGCTTCAAAGCAGGGAGGCGTTTCACGAAACCAATTCCTCGGCTTTAAGTGCCTTCCGCCGGGCTGACTTTCTCAGTTCAGGCATCGTTTTAGATTGATGAAGACCTTGGCAGTTCTCCCGGTTTCCCTGGCCATCGTCTTGAAAGATTTCTAGGACATCAAGTACGGTTAGTGGATTGCTAACAGGTTCCAGTATTTTACAGTGTGGCTTTGGGTTTTGATCTTGTTCATGGAAATTCATGTTTGCTGATTTTGCTGTGGCTTTTGACTTGCATTTTTCCTTTATTTTGTAACCATTTTTCTTCAATAAAAAAGGATTGTTTTTCACAGCCAAGTGTGGTGGATAGTTATCTTAGGGCCTCGTTCCCTGCTCTGGATTGCAACACTTATGCTTCATGTTCAGATCAACCTGGACGACGTTGAGAAGTCTCAAGTGCCTTCAAACCAGTTCTTTGGCACCAGAGGAAGGCTTTGTCCCTTCATAATATAGGCCATTGGAATTGGGGTTGTGATTATTCCGATATTCACAGCCATTGAGAAAGAGGGAACTTGGAAAAGCTTCTCAGCTGCAAAACTCCTTGGACCCAAGACAACCAGAGACTGTAATGTATATTTTCCTTTACCCCTTTGAAACTTCCAGCTTATTGCCTTAAGGGATAACATTCTCTGTGTCGTCTGACATGGTGGTTTTCAGAATGGTCCAGCATTTCTCTTCTTCTCATGCATTCTTCCATTCTGGCAATGCTTTTTTGCACTCAAGGAAGATGAAGGGAGAGGTTTTTTCTTGCATCTTGCACCGGTGGTTGCAATTAGCGTCTTGCAGGAAAAGGAAGTGGTGTTTCCACCCAGCGCTTTGCTAATTGAAGGGGGTTTTTTTTGGAGACTGTTTCGAGGCCCGGAAACCCCAAAGGAATCTCCCAGAGACAATGAGAATTGAGGAAGCAAATCATGTAAGCGCTATGGATGAAAACATAGGTTAAAATAGAGGCTGCAAGACTGAAAATGGGGGTAAAAATAAAGGTTTTCCCCTGACATTAAGTCCAGTTGTGTCCGATCCTGGGATGGCCATCTGTCAGGAGTGATTTGAATGCAATATTCCTACTTCTTGGTAGAAGGGGGTTGGACTGGATGGCCCAGGAGGTGTCTTCCAACTCTTTGATTCTATGATTCTATGACTCTGGTGCTCATCTCTATTTCTAGGCTGAAGAGCCAGCGTTGTCCATAGACACCTCCAAGGTCATGTGGCCAGCATGACTGCATGGAGCACCATTACCTTCCCGCTGAAGCGGTACCTATTGATCTACTCACACGTGCATGTTTTCAAACTGCTAGATTGGTAGAAGCTGGGGCTAACAGAGGGAGCTCCCCAGGCTCCCCAGATTTGAACTGATGACCTTTTGGTCAGCAAGTTCAGCAGCTCAGCGGTTTAACCCACTGCACCACCGGGGGAAAGTTTATTTATTTATTTATTTGTTAGTACTGGGTGATCTGTTGTTGTTGTTATTATTATTATTATTTGAAACACAACAAGATGAATCCACAGCAGACACTCTGCTGCCTGTTGCATTGAATCACACGTCGAACACTTCCCAAGTGTCAAGGACTGTATTATTATTATTATTATTATTATTATTATTATTATTATTATTATTATTATTTGAAACACAACAAGATGAGTCCACAGCAAACAAGCTCACTCTGCTGGCTGTTGTATTGAATCACACATCGGACACTTCCCAAGTGTCTAGGACTGTATTATTATTATTATTATTATTATTATTATTATTATTATTATTAGGAACACAACAAGATGAGTCCATGGCAGACACGCTGTGGCTGTTGTATTGGATCACACATTGGACACTTCCCAAGTGTCTAGGACTGTGTGATGTATCGGTGAATAATGCGTGCAGATCCGAATAGCGTGGCCTTATCCAGCTAGCAGTTGGTCAGCGCCTATTGTTTTTAAGTGCAGGCCAAGGTCTTGAGGCACTGCACCCAGTGTGCTGATCATCACTGGGACCTCCTTGACTGGCTTGTGCCAGAGTCTTGGAAGTTCGATCTTTAAATCCTCGTATCCTGTCAGGTGTTGTTGTTGTTGTTATTTGTAACTTCCTACATAGAATCGTAGAATCCTAGAGTTGGAAGAGACCTCATGGGCCATCCACCCCATTCTGCCAAGAAGCAGGAATATTGCATTCAAAGCACCCCTGACAGATGGCCATCCAGCCTCTGTTGAAAAGCCTCCAAAGAGGGAGCCTCCACCACACTCCGGGGCAGAGAGTTCCACTGCTGAACGGCTCTCACAGTTTTATTATTACACTATGTAACACTATTTTTGTTCCTGGGATAACAATGTCATTTCCTAATTGGTTCTATCAATATCTCAAAAAATGATCTATTCTGAGGGAAATGTCTCCAAAAAATGACAATTTTTGAGGGGAAACCCAACTTTTCTCAGGAAAAGTCACCAAGAATAATATTTTTGGAGGGGACAACCTACCAAAAATAACACTTTTTGAGGGGAAGCCCACCTGTTTTTGAAGGAAACATCACCAAGAATGACACAATGATGATGATGATGATAATGATGATGATGATAATAATAATAATTGCAACCAACGAAAGCAAAGGGACAGAGAGATGAATTCCATGAATCCAAACATGCGAAAAGGGGAAGCTGGCCTGAGGTCATTGTCTCTTTCCAAATGACCTGTCATTTGGTTATTTTTAAACAAAGTCGTGCGTGTCTGTCTTAATGAAAGAAGAATTGAAAAAGGAGTTCAGCGAAGGAGGAAGGGAAATTTGACAATCTTTGGCAGAGTAAGGTGAAGGCCTTGGAAAACTACAGCTCCCAGGATTCCATACTGCGATGAAATGGCAATAATTCTACAGTGTAGATGCATCATTGTTGGGGTTGAGAATGCTCTTTGATTGTGGATGAACTATAAATCCCAGCTACTACAACTCCCAAGTGACAAAATCAATCACCTCCCCAAACCCCACCAGTATTCAAATTTGGGCGTATCGGGTATTTGTGCCAAATTTGGTCCAGTGAATGAAAATCCATCCTGCATATCAGATATTTACATTACGATTCATAACAGGAGCAGAATTACAGTTATGAAGTAGCAATGAAAATAATGCTGTGGTTGGGAGGGTCAGCACAACATGAGGAACTGGATTAAGGGGTTGAGGCAATCGTTTGGTCAAGGCATTGATGCAGAGAATGACCAGGAGATCCCTGTTCAAAGTGTAATTTCTCATGAGACTGTCCCTGGAGGGTGTGGGGATGATGGTGTGCTCCCTGAATTTCTACCAGTGAATTCCCATGATTTGGAGCTTGAAAACATCTCGGCATCAGGTGCAGAAATTAAAGAGCAAATAGATAGATGGGAGGAGATTTGTCAAAACGGAAAAGCCGAACAGTGGCTTCGGCGTTCTGCCAGGCTCCGAGAGAAAAGGATAAGAGATTCTAAGGCAAAGCGAAACCAATTTCTGAGCGTTTGGGAGATAGCTAACTAGGAGGAAAAAATCCCAAGTACAGGATACGTAGTCAGATGAAGAATAGTTTAGAATCAAGTCAAGTTCTCATCCTTGTTTCATGGAAACTTTGCTTCCATGAACATGTTTAAGTGCCTTTTGTTTCATGGTTTTGATTCTTGGATCCTATGATTTTATATTCATGCTTTGGATTCATGTTTCCTGGTTTCTGGGATTTTATTATTTGTTTTCATGGACTTTGCTGGACTATTTTCCCCGGACTACTTTCTTCCTGCTTATCTTCTTACATAATTGGATTTACCTATTTCTTTAAAGTGCTTTTTATTCTACTGCTTTTTAATTATCTTCAATAAAAGGATTGTTTTTCCTACTCAACAATGTGGTGTTTAAAGTCAGAGGGCTTTTCTTGTTCTGGAGTGCAACAATATATATATATGTGTATGTATATATATATATATATATATATATATATAGAGAGAGAGAGAGAGAGAGAGAGAGAGAGCACCCCTACTTCATGGATTTTCACTTTTTGTGGGTAGTTCTGGAACGTAACACTCGCAATAAGTGAGGGAACACTCAACAGACTTCTTGGGAATATGTAAGTTTCTCAGCAGAGGCTGGATGACCATCTGTCAGGAGGGCTTGGGTTGGCAGAAGGGGGTTGGACTAGATGGCCTCTGAGGGTCCCGTCCCATTCTCCGGATCTACGAGGCATAGCTCTTTCTGATATCCTGGCTCCAAGTCCTTTACGACTTTGTTGGTCAACACCAACACCTCGAATGGAGCCTAGAATCAAATGGGAAGACAATGGCATGCAGCTCTTGCAGAACTGGAGTGATATGGTCTCCAAAATGCACACCTGACACCAAGTTGTCCTCTTGCATTTTGCATGAATTGCAGCTTCCCAACACTGATAATACAAGGACAAAAATCGTGTTGCATAGTTATTTTGAGAGGAAGAGCAACCCAGATGAAGGTCCTATCTGGAAATGGTGACTGGAAAGGCTGATGTGCTTTCTCTTTCTTTGCAGCATCCATGCGCTCCGGAGCAAGGTCTCAGAGGAGCACGAAGTCCTCAAGAAGAAGGAGCTGGAGGCGGCGCCCAAAGCGTCCTATGGCTACGGGGGCAAGTTTGGGACCGAGAAGGACCGCATGGACAAGGTGCCGAACTGGGACGGGGTTGTGTTACTCCTTGTCTGGTGCCAGGTGTAGAAACTGTGCATCTAAGCTTTTGGCTAGTTGCAAAACCAGGTAGCAATGACCTGGAGGAAGGGATAGAGGGTATGCTTGTTACATTTGCAGATGACGCCAAACTGAAGTTAAATTTGGATGAAGGACCGTGGTTAAGCAAGGTCCTGCCTGGCAAGCATTCATGCTAACACCCAAAGTTTCAGATTAAAGAATGCACTCATCATACATGGACTATTTGTTTCTATCTATCTTTCTATCTAATGGATTTACCTATTTTTGTGGATTGCTTTTTACTGCTACTGCTTTTAAATATCTTCAATAAACTGCTTGAATTTTTACTCAGTTGTGTGGTGTTTAAAGTCAGAGGGTTTTCCTGGCCTGGAGTGCAACACGGACTAAATTAGCCCGGAAAACGCTGGAAATACCAACCCCCTCCCCAAAAACCCCCAAAACAGCGTAAAAAAAAACAAAACAAAAGAACTCACCCGGCCTCCATGATGCGGCTGCCAGAGTTCTCCTGGCACGTACAAATGTAAAAAATCGCTCCTGCCCCCCTTTTTTCCTGGCACGTTATTTGTATGCACCAAGAGAACTCCGGCAGCCGTCTCATGGAGGCCGGGTAAATTATTTTGGGGTTTTTTTTACACTGTTTTGGGGGACTTTTGGGGAGGGGACTACAATGTCCCGGTGTTTTCCCAGGAAGTCCTGGAAGAACATCTGGACACCCACCCAAGAAAGCGTGTGCTTTCTGGGATGTGTGTAGAAGGGACCCCAGGAACATTCACATTTTTAAAACCCGGATGCTCCTGCAATAACAGCCTGTCTGGAAGGGCCCTTAGACTTGGGGAAAGGCCCAGGAAATCTCTCTGCAGAGAGGTGAAAGTTCCTGGGACTATCTGGTTATATTTTGATAAGGAAATATATACATTTTATAACTCTATGAAAGAGATATAGTATAAAAGTTATATGGAAAGTCGTGAAGAATGCATACAAATATGATCGCTGTTACTGGCTTGATCTCCTGCAATCAAACTTTGGCTGTCAAACAGAGGCACATTGACCTCCTGCTGAGCTTTTGGAACATGGCATACACTTTTTGAAGGTGTCTTTTCTCTTATATACTCTTTTCTTCATAAACTTACTCCTTTTTGATGACCTGTGTAGTGTTTGGGGGGGGGGGTGGGAGGAAGAGTCAGTTACAACAGTGTCTTCCTTGTTTTCCCAGAGTGCTTTGGGCCATGAATATGTTGCCGAGGTCGGGATGCACTCTTCTCAGACGGATGCCGCCAAGGGTTTCGGAGGAAAGTTCGGGGTGCAGAAGGACCGAGCCGACAAGGTCAGTGGCATTAAATGGCCAGATCCCATTGTTGTTGTTGTTCTGCATCCTCAAGTGCATTCCAATCTATGGCAACTTGTGGGACTTTGTTGGTAAGATTTGTTTGGGAAGAGGTTGGCCTTGGCCGAGTGAAAATTCGAGAGTCCAACACTCGAAACAAGCCCTATGAGGAGCGGCTTAAGGAGCTGGGCATGTTTAGCCTGAAGAAGAGAAGGCTGAGAGGAGATATGATAGCCATGTATAAATATGTGAGAGGAAGTCACAGGGAGGAGGAGGGAGCAAGCTTGTTTTCTGCTTCCTTGGAGACTAGGACGCGGAACAATGGCTTCAAACTACAAGAGAGGAGATTCCATCTGAACACAAGGAAGAACTTCCTGACTGTGAGAGCCGTTCAGCAGTGGAACTCTCTGCCCCGGAGTGTGGTGGAGGCTCCTCCTTTGGAAGCTTTTAAACAGAGGCTGGATGGCCATCTGTCAGGGGTGATTTGAATGCAATATTCCTGCTTCTTGGCAGAAAGGGGTTGGACTGGATGGCCCATGAGGTCTCTTCCAACTCTTTGATTCTAGGATTCTATGATTCTATGAAACCACTTTGCTGTGTGGACTTCCCAGCACTGGACCCAACATGGCCAACTGTGAATACTGTCAGGGTTTGGGGGTGATTGCCCTGGGAATCTGGGAATTGTAGTTCACCCTTATCCAGAGATCTCTGAACCCGGCCAATGATGGATCTGGACCAAACTTAAGTGATACTACCTAACATCCCAAAACAAACAATGCCTTCTTCTAATAATCTAGGCACCACCGGGTGCCCAAATTAATAACAACGACGACGTCAACAACAACGACAACAACAACAACATAGCAGACTGTGCAAGGAAGCTGATGAAACCATTGATCATATCCTCAGTTGTTGCAAGAAAATCGCACAGATGGACTACAAACAGAGGCACAACTCTATGGCCCAGGTGGTTCACTGGAACTTATGTCACAAGGACCACCTGCCAGCAGTAATCAATTGGTGGGATCATAAACCCACAAAGGTTGTGGAAAATGAACATGCAAAAATACTGTGGGACTTTCGAATCCAGACTGACAAAGTTTTGGAACACAAAATTATTTATTATTATTATTATTATTATTATTATTATTATTATTATTATTAAACTTTATTTGTACCCCGCTAGCATCTCCCAAGGGATTCGATGCGGCTTACAACAGGCCGGAGCCCAACACAATACAACAATACAATACATAGCAAATAAAACAGTTAAAGCAGAAAACAATAAACAATAGCAATACAACAGGACATTATTAAAAACTGAGCCGGCCGGAGTAGGGTACAGGATTAAAAAGTGCTGAAGTGTCGGAGGGATATGGGATTAAAATATAAGTGCAGTGTGCGGTGAGGGTGATCTTGACTCTACTAAAGTGCTTCTGGGCTTTGGTAGTGGGGTTCCTAATCTGAGAAGGCACGTTGGAACAGCCAGGTTTTCAGGTTCTTTCTGAAAACCGCCAAGGTAGGGGCCTGTCTGAGATCTTTCGGGAGGGCATTCCAGAGGCGGGGGGCCACCACAGAGAAGGCCCTGTCTCGTGTCCCCACCAAATGCGCCTGTGACACGGGCGGAATCACGAGCAGGGCCTCTCCTGATGACCGGAATGAGCGTGTGGGTTCATAGACAGCGATGCGGTCACGCAGGTAGGGTGGTCCCAAACCGTTCAGGGCTTTTTAGGTAAGCACCTGCACCTTAAATTGGGCTCGGAAAATAAACGGCAGCCAGTGGAGCTCCTTAAACAGGAGGGTTGACCTCTCTCTGTAATGGGCCCCAGTTAACATCCTGGCTGCTGCCCGTTGGACCAATTGGAATTTCCGAGCCGTTTTCAAGGGCAGCCCCACGTAGAGCGCATTGCAGTAATCCAGTCTAGAGGTGACTAAGGCATGGACCACCCTGGCCAGATCAGCCTTAGCGAGGTACGGACGGGTCCGAGCAGGCATCTCCCAGCTTCACCATCTGGGATCGTCCCTCCAGGAAGGACCGGAGCCACGACAGAACCGTGCCCCCGAGACCCATCCCAGAGAGTCGACCCAGAAGGATACCATGATCGATGGTATCGAAAGCCGCTGAGATGTCCAAGAGGACCAGCAGGGTTACACTCCCCCTGTCCAGTCCTCTACGGAGGTCATCCACCAAGGCGACCAAGGCTGTCTCGGTGCCATGACCAGGCCTGAAACCAGACTGTGCCCGATCCAGGTAATTGATGTCATCCAGGAAGCCCTGGAGCTGGAGGGCGACCACCCGCTCCAGCACCTTACCCAAAAAAGGAAGGTTGGAGATCGGTCTGTAATTGTTCAGCACCGTAGAGTCAAGGGACGACTTTTTTAGGAGTGGGCGAACCACAGCCTGTTTCAAATTAGATGGAAAAATCCCTTGCTCCAACGATGCGTTAATGATCAACACAAACCAATCAACCAACCCCTCCTTGGCAGATTTAATAAGCCAGGATGGGCAAGGGTCTAGGGCCAAAGTGGTCGCCCTCACAGCCCCAAGAACCTCCTCCACGGTCTCAGGAAGAACAAGCCGAAAAGAATCCCACAAAATTGGACAAGCAGATGCCTCAGTCACCTCCTCTGGCACTGCAATGAAATTGGAGTCGAGCTCAAGACATATCTGGGCAACTTTGCCTGCAAAATGGTGTGCGAAATCGCAACACCGAGCTGCTGGGTCGTCAGAGATCTCCTCCGCCACAGGTGGGTGAAGGAGCTCCCCGACAACCCGAAACAGCTCTGATGACCTATTTGCTGCAGACGCTATCCGGGTGGTCGTGAAAGACTCCCTGGCCGCCCGTATAGCCACGGAGTATGCCCTAAGAGAGGCCCTAGCCCGTGCTTGATCAGACATGTCCCGAGATCTCCTCCACTTGCGCTCTAGCCCCCTTCTCGTGTGCTTCATCACAGCCAACTCCTCGGTAAACCACGGAGACGGCCTGTCATGACGCAACGAGATGGGGCGTTTGGGAGCGATCGTGTCTATCGCCCTGGACATCTCCTTATTGTAGATAGAGCCTGGCGTCAACAGGATCTCCAGGCTCTATGGCAGGAAGAACCCCAAGATTCCTCAGGAATCCATCTGGATCCATCAGTCTCCTGGGGCGGACCATCTTAATTTGTCCTCCACCCCTGCGAAGGTTGGGGGTCGCAGCAAGTCTAAAACTGACCAGATAGTGATCAGACCATGACACTGGAAGGATGTTTTGTTCTTCCACTCTGATCATTCCACTGTCCGCCACAAAAACTAGGTCAAGAGTATGTCCAGCCTGATGGGTGGGTCCTGATATAATTTGTGACAGTCCTATGGTCGTCATGGCGGCCATAAAATCCTGAGCTGCGCCAGACAAAGAGGTCTCAGCATGAATGTTAAAATCTCCCAGCACCACCAAGTGCTGGGAGACCAGGGCCGAATTAGAGACCACCTCCGCTAGCTCAGACAGGGAAACTGCTGGGTCGCGGGGTGGGCGGTACACCAGCAGAAACCCCACACTGTCACGGTTCCCCACCTTCAGGTGGACACACTCAAACCCAGGTGCTTGCGGAACAGCGCATCTGGTCACGGCGATGGATTGCCGAAAGACCACTGCGACCCCTCCTCCCCGCCCCCCTTGTCTGGCCTGCTGATGCACCCCGAAGCCCAGTGGGCACAGCTGAGTGAGATTTACTCCCCCCAGCTCATCCAGCCAGGTTTCCGTGATGCATGCCAGATCCGCTCTCTCATTCAGAATCAGGTCCTGAATGGCAGAGGTCTTACCATTAACGGATCTGGCATTGATCAGCAGGACCTTAAGACCGAGGGGACTGCCATGGCACCTACCACTTCCTACCTTCTCCAGGGTCGCAAGAACTCTGTTGCGCTTCTCCATGGGATGTTGGTGACCCACGAGTCTCCTCCCCCACACGACTTGGATGGCGCCCACCTCCTCTGCCCCCCCCCACCTGGTTAGAATCTGTGGCTAGTCAACTCTCGGAAGAGGTAAGGCTGGAGTATAATCTCCCTTGGATGTTAGATAGGGATACTTCCGATGATGGAGTGGGCGGAGAGTCAGTAAATGAACTAAGTGGACTGAATAGGGGGAGTGTCCTTGGGCGAGAGAGAGTAGCTGATTGTGCAAAAACAGCTGGGGCAGATGGGGTCTCGAGTTGTGAGGGGACAACTGGGACAGATGGGGTCTCGAATTGGTACAAACCAGGAGGGGGAGCCAGACATCACAATTGTGGAAAAGAAAAAAGTCTGGATTATTGATGTCGCCATACCGGGTGACAGCCGCATTGGGGAAAAACATCATGCTTTTTTCAAATTATAATCCAGCCCTCCAACTGTTTGAGAGACTGTGACCTGGCCCTCGATTTAAAAAGTTTGAGGACCCCTACTCTAGACAATATTGAAAGTAAAAGAAAAATGCTTTACTCCAGAAAACACAAAGGATAAGCAAAATGCAATTGAAAAGTGCGAAAGAGAACAAAGAAGTCTTAATCCAGACACAAATTCAAGTCTCTTACAAGGTCCTCAAAGGAAAACCAGTCTTCTATCAGACAACAGACGATGAACTAGTTCTTAGCAACAGACACAAAGCAGATTCCATAGGAGTAAAAACAGCACTTGTTACCAGTGAAAGCTGACTGCACCAGCTACTGATTTATAGCCCTGATTTCCCCACGCAGGAGGTACTAGGGAGTTGCCCAATTAGCTCAGCGTTTTTAGCAGCTATTCTAGCTGACCACTGTCTGTGCTCTGTCTCTTTTCGTCTCTCTAGAAATGTGGACACTTTCAAAACCTCATTGACTGATTATTCTTCTGCCTCCAATTCCTAAGCACTTTCCTGCTCCTCTTTCTCTTCCGAAGATGAGGAACCCCCTGCATTGTGTCCTAGTCTCCAGGGCAGCAGAAAACAAGCTTGCTCCCTCCTCCCTATGACTTCCTCTCACGTATTTATCCATGGCCCCCATCATGTCTCCTCTCATCCTTCTCTTCTTCAGGCTAAGCATGCCCAGCTCCTTAAGCCGCTCCTCATAGGGCTTGTTCTCCAGACCCTTGATCATTTTAGTTGCCTCCTCTGGACACATTCCAGCTTGTCAACATCTCCCTTCAATTGTGGTGCCCAGAATTGGATGCAATATTCCAAGTGTGGTCTAATCAAGACAGAATAGAGCATGGGAAGCATGACGTCCCTGAATCTAGACACTAGACTCCGATTGATGCAGGCCAAAATCCCATTGGCTTTTTTTGCCACCACATCACATTGGTGGGACCACTGGTGGTCCACGGACCACAGGTTGGGAACCACTTCTACCCACCTTCCTTCCTTCCTTCTTTCCTTCCTTCCTTCCTCCCTCCCTTCCCCATTATCTTTGTATAGACTATAAACTCTTAGAGATATTTCCCATCTATTTTGTTTCCCCAAACTCTTAAAAGTACTCTATTTGGCCCATACACAATTAAGCCAGCAGTAGCCATAACGCCATGCCTCTCTTCTTTCTCTGCAGTCTGCGCTCGGCTTCGACTACAAGGGAGAAGTGGATAAACATACCTCCCAAAAGGGTGAGTTGCAAAAAAAATATAATTTCATCCTCTGGAAAAGGTTTTTACATCAACTGTTTTGAAGGCTTCCTTTTTTTAGAACTGGAAAAATATTACTTTGTTAGGTCTCTCCTAACAATTGGGAAGTCCCATCGGAAAAGGAGAGATTATTTGCATTTTCTCCATACAAATATACATGATTTTTTTTCCCATGCAAAACAATTTTCTGCACTGAAGAAAAAAAAACACAATTTAAAACACATTTTTCTGTGCAAAAAACCCCCAAGTTGTTGTTTGTTTGTTTGTTTATTTATTTATTTACATTATTTCTATCCCGCCCATATCAGCCCGGAGGCGACTCAGGGCGGTGTTGTTGTTGTTGTGATGGTTATTATGTTTATTATGTTTCCCACTTTTTCTCTCCATATGGAGACTGAATGGATTCATGTGCTTTTCTGGGCTTATAAAAAGCCTATTCTATCAAAGAGTGCACGTGCTTCACTGAACTACAACTCCCAAGATCTCCTAGCATTGAGCCATGGCATTGTTACCTGGGAATTGTAATTTAGCATTATTTGGTATTGAAGACTAAAGACCATGGAAAACCCCAACTCCCAAGATTCCATGGCTGTCAAACTGAATCAATTCTGCAATGTGTTCTATATCTTGGAAGCACATTTTTCAAGGATATCCAAATCTAGACTTCAAAAACAGCTACATTTTGCATTCTTGCTGCAACCTACCCCATCTTAGATTTTTGTCATTAAGTGTGTTAATTCTACAATGTAGATGCACCCAAAGTTTTTGCTAGAGGACTAAAAACCCCAGGAATGCACCTACTTTGTTGCATTTATATGTAACTGCATCTGTTCTGAAAGACCTTGGACTAGGTGAAATGCAATTTGATGCCTATGTGGTTGTACTTTCTGGTATATATATAATTTCTGGCTAGATGTTGAGTTGCAAATCTCTGTTTTGTTTCTGCCTCTTTCTGAAATCGGCTCCATCTCTTCCTACTTGCAGACTATGCTGTTGGCTTTGGAGGGAAATATGGGGTGCAGAAAGACCGCCAAGACAAGTCTGCATTGGGTTGGGCCCATAAGGAAGAATTGAAGCCCCATGAGTCCCAGACAGGTCAGTGTTAGAGCTGCAATGCATTTAGGGGTGCATCCTGACCTTCGTTTGCAGGACTTTCCAAAAGAGCGGCCCCCCCCCCCCCCGGTTGGCGATTTCCCTTCTTTTGCACGGATTCTATACAATCAAATGCCTTTTCTAGGGATGCATCTATATTATTTTCCTTCTTTTGCATGGATTTCCACCCATTCTATACAATCAAATGCCTTTTCTAGAGGTACATTTACAGTATTTCCCTTCTTTTGCATGGATTTTCCCCATTCTATTCACTCAAATGCCTTTTCTAGGGGTACATTTACAGTATTTCCCTTCTTTGGCATGGATTTTCCCCATTCTATACACTCAAATGCCTTTTCTAGGGATGCATCTATATTATTTCCCTTCTTTCGCATGGATTTTCCCCCATTCTATACACTCAAATGCCTTTTCTAGGAGTGCATTTATACTATTTCCCTTTTGCATAGATTTCCCCCATTCTATACACTTAAATGCCTTTTCTAGGAGTATACCTACACTATTTCTCCTCTTTTGCATGGATTTTTCTCCATTGAAATGCCTTTCCTAAGACTTGGAGGATACCTACACTGCAAAATCATAGCAGTTCAACACATTTACTGGCTCTACCCTACAGAATAGGTGCCCTTGGCAGAAGTGGTGATACACATCATGATCTTCTTTCATTAAGCTTTACAAAAGATTAGGTAATGTCTTTTTATCTATTTCCCAATTCTGGCATGGGTGTCTCCCCATTCAATCCAATTGAATGCCTTTTCCGAGGCTGGACATAACATGCCATAGTATGCAATCTGAAACTGCATTGAAACCTATGGAATTGTGAATCCAATAGACACTTTGCAAATAGATATCCAAGAATCAGAAAAGACGTGAAGCGGTGCAATAAATTTACTTTATGAAAATATGGCAACTCTAGTTTTCCTGATGTGTACTTTCTCTCCCCTTCCCTATCCCTTGCAAAGAAGGTCTTATGTGGCCCAATGTGGTCCTTGGTGTAAACAAACTCTGCATTCCAAGTGCAAATACTGTCCTTTCCCTGAAATTTGATTTGTCTTTGTCTGCCTGCAGACTATGCTGTTGGCTTTGGAGGGAAGTATGGGGTGCAGAAGGACCGCCAGGACAAGTCCGCCTTGGATTGGGCCCATAAGGAAGAACTCAAGCCCCATGAGTCCCAGACAGGTCAGTATGGAAGGGTTGGGGTGCCCTTGGGTTCGGAGAACCTTCCTTTGGTGGTTTCCCTTCTTTTGCATGGATTTCCCCCCATTCTATATACTCAAATGCCTTTTCTATGACCCTGGGACCTCCCAACAACAATAAATATCTATTGCGAAACAAATTTAATTAAAAGGCAATACAAAATCCTATTTGAAACTTATGGATCCAGTAGACATCTTGAAAGTAGATATCCACAAGTCAGAAGAGACTTGAAGGAGAGCAAAAAACAATTGTTTTATGAAAGATTGGCAGCCCCAGAGGTGTGTTGATGTGTATTTTTCCTGTCCCTTGCAAAGAAGGAGGGGAGCAAAGACGCCCTTTGCACCGTAATATGGCCCAAACTCTGCATTCTGAAGTGCAAATGCCAACCTTTTCCTGAAATCTACTTCATTTCTTCCTGCCTGCAGACTACGCTGTTGGCTTTGGAGGGAAGTATGGGGTGCAGAAGGATCGCCAGGACAAATCCGCCTTGGATTGGGCCCATAAGGAAGAACTCAAACCCCACGAGTCCCAGACAGGTAACTGGGGAAGGTGGTGAGGCCGAGGTGTCCTTGGATTCAGAGATGCTGCGTATCCCAACCTTCCTTCACTGAACTTTGCTAAGGATAGTTTAACTGCACTGAACTGTATAATATAGGTCAACACTGACCATGTAATTCAGTTTCAAACAGTGAAGGTCCAGCTATTTATTTCTCGTGTCAGGGCAGCCAGTCAATTATATTACATTTCTAACAGAACAAAGCAAACAAACAGAGAAAATACAAAATGTGTGAGTTTGGTAGTTGATTAAATGTCCTTTGAGCAGTCTCTGGCCCCTTGGAGTGCCTCTGGTGTTGCTGCAAGAAGGTCCTCCATGGTGCATGTGGCAGGGCTCAGGGTGCATTGCAGTAGGTGGTCAGCGGTTTGCTCCTCTCCGCACTCGCATGTCGAGGATTCCACTTTGTGGCCCCATTTCTGAAGGTTGGCTCTGCAACTCGTGGTGCCAGAGCGCAGTCTGTTCAGTGCCTTCCAAGTCGCCCAGTCCTCTGTGTGCCCAGGGGGGAGTCTCTCATTTGGTATCAGCCATTGGTTGAGGTTCTGGGTTTGAGCCTGCCACTTTTGGACTCTCGCTTGCTGAGGTGTTCCAGAGAGTGTCTCTGTAGATCTAAGAAAACTATTTCTAGATTTAAGTCGTTGACGTGCTGGCTGATATCCAAACAAGGGATGAGCTGGAGATGTCTCTGCCTTGGTCCTTTCAGTATTGGCTGCTCCTTCCCGGCGGATGTCAGGTGGTGCAATACCGGCTAAGCAGTGTAATTTCTCCAGGGGTGTAGGGCGCAGACACCCCGTGATAATGCGGCATGTCTCATTCAGAGCGACATCCACTGTTTTAGTGTGGTGAGATGTGTTCCACACTGGGCATGCGTACTCAACAGCAGAGTAGCACAGCGCAAGGGCAGATGTCTTCACTGTATCTGGTTGTGATCCCCAGGTTGTGCCAGTCAGCTTTCGTATGATATTGTTTCTAGCACCCACTTTTTGTTTGATGTTCAGGCAGTGAACTGAACTGTATAATATAGGTCAACACTGACCATGTAATACAGTTGCAAACAGTGAAGGTCCAGCTTAAGACTCTGAGGCCATCCATGCTGTTGAATTATAGCAATTTGATATCACTTTTACTGCCTCCATCCTATAGAATGGGTGCCTTTGGGTGTAGAGGTGCAGCGTATCCCAGCCTTCTTTCCCTGGAAAGGAATAGGTAACTTTCCATTGGTGATTTCCTATCTTCAGCATGGGTTTCTCCCCATTCGATACAGTCAAATGCCTTTTCTAAGTCTTGCATCCCATCCATACTGCAGAGTTAATGCAGTTCAACACCATTTTATGGTCCTCATCCTATAGAATGGGTGCACTTGGCAGAAGAGGTGATGCATATCCAGACCTTCTTTCGCTCAGTTTTGAAAGGGATTAGGAAACTTTCTTTGAGAGTTTCCCTGCCTTCGGTATGGATTTTTCCACATTCTATACAGTCGAATGCCTTTTGTAAGACTGTCCACATTTCAAAAGGAATGCAGCATGCTCCCTGGCTCAATGCTATGGGATCCTGGGAGTTGTAGTTTTGCAAGGTCTTCCATCTTCTCTGCCAAAGAGTGCTTTAGTCTTGTCAAACTACAACTCCCTTGATTCCATAGTATTGAACCATGGCAGTCATAGTGCCTTGCTTAAGAAAACTCGTTGAAATCCATAGGGTCACTATAAGGCAGGAGGCAATTTAGAAGGCAAATAGAAAGAAATATAAGGGTTATATCAGCCTTTTGCAGCAAAACTGTAAATGGCCGTGCTTTGCCAAAACAAAAGATTTGGTTTTACGGAACCAGTATACTATAGTGGTTTGAGCATTGGACATAAGAAGAGTGTTCAAATTCCCGCTTGGCCATGTAAACCCATTGGTTGAGTCCCACTTTCTCAGCCTCAGAGGAAGGCAATGGCAAAACTCTTCTGGACAAGTCTTGCCAAGACAACCCTGTGATAGATTTACCATAGGTCACAAATGGCTTGAAGGCACACAATAGCAGCAAACAGCAATTGCAAAACAAATTGCATTATAAGACGATGCAAAATCTTGTTTGATACCTGTGAAGTTGTGAATCCAGCAGGCAAATAGGCATTGATTGCCATTTCCTGTAATTTTCCCCGTCTCTTCCTGCCTGCAGACTACGCCGTTGGCTTTGGAGGGAAGTATGGGGTGCAGAAGGACCGCCAGGACAAGTCCGCCTTGGGTTGGGCCCATAAGGAAGAACTGGAGCCCCATGCGTCCCAGACAGGTCAGTGTGAAGGGATGCCCTTAGGGTCAGATGTGCAATGCATTTAGGGTTGCATCCTGAACTTCCTTTGCAGAGCTTTGCAAAAGAGCAGAGATCCTCCTTTGACGATTTTCCACTTTCAATACAGATTTCCCCCTTTTCTATGAGCTCAAATGCCTTTTCTAGGAGTGCAGCTATACTAGGCATGGGCCAACTTTGGCCCTCCTTCCAGGTGTTTTGGACTTCAATTCCCAAAATTCATAACAACAGCTAGATCAGCTATCGGAATTTAAAAACCATCTAAAGCTTGAGCCTGGAAAGAAAGGGATTTCTAGATGACCCTACACCAAAAGGTGAATTTTCACTGCAGAATAGATGCAGTTTGGCCTTGTTTTAACTGCCATAGCTGAAGGCTATGGATATCCTAAACGGTTCTGGCCCAGCTTATCTATCCAAACGCATCTCCCCCTATGAACCCCACCAGGGACTTGAGATCGTCGGAGGAGGCCCTGCCCTCGATCCCGCCTGCTTCACAAGCACGTCTGGCGGGGACAAGAGACAGGGCCTTCTCTGTGGTGGCCCCTCGGCTGTGGCTGCCCTCAATCCTGCCTGCTTCACAAGCACATCTGACAGGGACGAGAAACAAGGCCTTCTCTGTGGTGACCCCTCAGCTGTGGCTGCCCTCAATCCTGCCTGCTTCACAAGCACATCTGACAGGGACGAGAAACAAGGCCTTCTCTGTGGTGGCCCCTCAGATGTGGCTGCCCTCAATCCTGCCTGCTTCACAAGCACATCTGACAGGGACGAGAGACAGGGCCTTCTCTGTGGTGGCTCCTCAGCTGTGGCTGCCCTCAATCCTGCCTGCTTCACAAGCACATCTGACAGGGACGAGAGACAGGGCCTTCTCGTGGTGACCCCTCGGTTGTGGAACTCCCTGCTCAGGGATATCAGATCGGCCCCCTCCCTCCTAATGTTTCAAAAAACCCTGATAACTTGGCTTTTCGAGCAAGCTTTTGGAGACTCGGCTTAATCAGATAAACCTGAATTGGAAAATGACTTAGGAACGGCTAAGACAACGGAATGGATGAGGACTGAACATGACGACATAGTTTAAAATTTTTTTATTGTTCACTGTTTTGATGTTTTTAGATATATTGTAATGTGATGTTTTTATTTTTTATTGATGTATGTATTTTATATATGGCATTGAATTCATAGAATCATAGAATCTGTGGCATAGCTGTTTGAGTGGCAGCTGCATTAAGATCACTTCTGACCAAAAAGTCATGAGTTCAGCCCGGGTCGGAGTGAGCTTCCAACCAATTGTGTAGCTTGTTGTCGACCTTTGCAACCCAAAAGACAGTTACATCTGTCAAGTAGGAAAATTAGGTACCACCTATGTGTGGGGAGGCTAATTTAACTAATTTACGAGGCCATAAAAAAGATTCCAGCAAAGTACTCCAGCAAAAGCATGCAGGGAATGCGGAAGTACTTCATCAGTGTCGTAGATGGACGATGAAAGCGACAGCTCCCCCGTCGGCCAGAAAAAGTTAAATAGCCTCTGTATATGTCTGTATACGTTGTATGTCAAATTGGCATTGAATGTTTGCCATATATGTGTACAATGTAATCCACCCTGAGTCCCCTGCGGGGTGAGAAGAAGGGCGGAATAGAAATACTGTAAATCAATCAATCAATCAATCATAGAGTTGGAAGAGACCACCTGGGCCGTCATCCAGTCCAACCCCATTCTGCCAAGAAGCAGGAATATTGCATTCAAATCACCCCTGACAGATGGCCATCCAGCCTCTGTTTAAAACTTCCAAAGAAGGAGCCTCCACCACACTCTGGGGCAGAGAGTTCCACTGCTGAACGGCTCTCACAGTCAGGAAGTTCTTCCTCATGCTCAGATGGAATCTCCTCTCTTGTAGTTTGAAGCCATTGTTCCATTGCGTCCTAGTCTCCAAGGAAGCAGAAAACAAGCTTGCTCCCTCCTCCTCCCTGTGGCTTCCTCTCACATATTTATACTATCATATCTCCTCTCAGCCTTTTCTTCTTCAGGCTGAACATGCCCAGCTCCTTAAGCCGCTCCTCATAGGGCTTGTTCTCCAGACCCTTGATCATTTGAGTCACCCTCCTCTGGACACATTCCAGCTTAGAGTCAACATCTCTCTTGAATTGTGGTACCCAGAATTGGACACAATTTTCCAGGTAAAGTGGTCTAACCAAAGCGGAGTAGAGCATGGGGAGCATGACTTCCCTAGATCTAGACATTATGCTCCTATTGATGCAGGCCAACATCACATTGGCTTTTTTTGCCGCCACATCACATTCCTGGCTCATGTTTTAGTCGCCCTCCTCTGGACACATTCCAGCTGGTCAATATCTCTCTTCAATTGTGGTACCCAGAATTGTTTGTTTTTGTTTACTGTATTTGTATACCGCCTTTCTCAGCCAATCGGCGACTCAAGGCGGTTTAGACACAATTGTGCCGATTGTTTGCCGCCCTGAGTCACCTTCGGGCTGATATGGGCAACGTAAATAAAATATCGTAGGAGTTGTAGTTTGGCGAATTATCCAGCACTTTTATGCAGAGAAGGCTACAGACCTAGATAAACTACAACTCCCAGAATTCTGTCAAACAGAGCAATGGTAATTCAAGTGGGGTCAAACTGCATTCATTTCTAGGAGAAATAATCTACACTCTGATCAATAAGGAATTCCTTCCCATCGCTTACACTGCTTGCTTTTGTTTTGCAGATTATGCCAAGGGCTTTGGTGGACGCTACGGAGTTCAGAAGGACAGAGTGGACAAGGTAAACGATTACGAAATTTGCATGTGTTGTTGCACCTTACAGCACTCACCAAGAAACCAAGCGTGGTAATACACACGTTATTGATATTTATTTATCTATCTATCGTGTCATCAGCAACCATACCATTGTATTACAATTCTAACAGAGCAAAACAAACACACAGATTAAAAAGAAAAAGAAAAGAAACACATAGATTTTGCAAATTTGGTAGTTGGTTAAATGTCCTTTGACCAGTCTCTGGCCCCTTGGAGTGCCTCTGGTGTTGCCGCAAGAAGGTCCTCCCTGGTGCATCATGTGGCCGGGCTCAGGGTGCATTGCAGCAGGTGGTCAATGGTTTGTTCTTCTCCGCACTCGCATGTCGTGGACTCCACTTTGTTTGTGGCCCCATTTCTGAAGATTGGCTCTGCATCTCGTGGTGCCAGAGCGCAGTCTGTTCAGCGCCTTCCAAGTCACCCAGTCTTCTGTGTGCCCAGGGGGGAGTCTCTCATCTAGTATCACCCATGGATTGAGGTGCTGAGTTTGGGCCTGCCACTTTTGGACTCTTGCTTGCTGGGATGTTCCAGTGAGTGTCTCTGTAGATCTAAGAAAACTATGTCTTGATTTAAGTCGTTGACGTGCTGGCTGATACCCAAACAGGGGATGAGCTGGAGATGTCTCTGCCTTGGTCCTTTCACTATTGGCTGCTACTTCCCGGAGTATGTCCAGTGGTGCAATACCGGCTAAGCAGTGTAATTTCTTCAGTGGTGTGGGGCGCAGACACTCCATGTCTGATTAAGAGCCACATCCACTGTTTAAGTGTGGTGAGATGTGTTCCACACTGGGCATGCCTACTCAGCAGCAGAGTAGCATAGCGCAAGGGCAGATGTCTTCACTGTGTCTGGTTGTGATCCCCAGGTTGTGTCAGTCAGCTTTCGTATGATATTGTTTCTAGCACCCACTTTTTGCTTGATGTTCAGGCAGTGCTTCTTGTAGGTCAGAGCACGGTCCAGAGTGACTCCTCCCAGGTATTTGGGTGTGCTGCAATGCTCCAGTGGGATTCCTTCCCAGGTAATAATCCTCAGAGCTCGGGATGCTTGTCTGTTCTTAAGGTGAAAGGTGCATGTCTGTGTTTTAGATGGATTAGGGATCAGTTGGTTTTCCCTGGAATAGGCTTTATTGATAAAAACACATATAAAAAGGGCCAAAGGCACCTTAAGCAAATGGGAGGGTGAAAATCCAAGAGTTGATAAAGGATACAAGTTTCAAAGGCAATATGTAAATCCAGAGAAACACGGTTAAAATATGAACATGAATGCAGGAAACAAGGAGCAAAACAGAAGCATGAATGCAAAGGTAAATCCATAAAACAAGGAGCAAAACTTGATCATGAAACTTGAGCCTTGAACTAAGGCATGAACTAGGAACAAGACAGGAGTTCCTCACTCCAATCGCGACATTAATTGATCTAAAATCCTAACAGCTCTCTCACTAATTTAAGGACTGCTAAACATGAAGTCATTCCTTTGACCTTGAGAGGCCTGCTTCTGCCTCTCTTTCTCACTGACTGTAATATCAATGCCAAAGTCAACATCGACACTGAAATACAACACCGCCTGAGCTCTGTGAGTGCAGCATTTTTCCGAATGAAGCAGAGAGTGTTTGGGACATCCGTAGGGAGACCAAGGGGCTTGTTCATAAAGCTATTGTTCTCCCAACCCTGCTATATGCTTGCGAGACGTGGACTGTCTACAGATGTCACATGCAACTCCTGGAACGATTCCATCAGCACCTGAGCTCTGAGTGCAGCATTCTTCCGAATGAAGCAGAGAGTGTTTGAGGACCGGGACATCCGTAGGGAGACCAAGGGGCTTGTTGATAAAGCTATTGTCCTCCCAACCCTGTCGTATGCCTATGAGACATGGACTGTCTACAGACGTCACATGCAACTCCTGGAACGATTCCATCAGCACCTGAGCTGTGAGTGCAGCATTCTTCCGAATGAAGCAGAGAGTGTTTGAGGACCGGGACATCCGTAGGGAGACCAAGGGGCTTGTTCATAAAGCTATTGTCCTCCCAACCCTGTCGTATGCCTATGAGACGTGGACTGTCTACAGACGTCACATGCAACTCCCGAAATACAACACCACTTGAGCTCTGTGAGTGCAGCATTTTCCGAATGAAGCAGAGAGTGTTTGAAGACCGGGACATCCGTAGGGAGACCAAGGGGCTTGTTCATAAAGCTATTGTCCTCCCAACCCTGTCGTATGCCTATGAGACGTGGACTGTCTACAGACGTCACATGCAAATCCTGGAACGATTCCATCAGCACCTGAGCTCTGAGTGCAGCATTCTTCCGAATGAAGCAGAGAGTGTTTGAGGACCGGGACATCCGTAGGGAGACCAAGGGGCTTGTTCATAAAGCTATTGTCCTCCCAACCCTGTCGTATGCCTATGAGACATGGACTGTCTACAGACGTCACATGCAACTCCTGGAAAAATTCAACACCGCCTGAGCTCTGCGAGTGCAGCATTCTTCCGAATGAAGCAGAGAGTGTTTGAGGACCAGGACATCCATAGGGATACCAAGGGGCTTGTTGATAAAGCTATTGTTCTCCCAACCCTGTCGTATTCCTGTGAGACGTGGACTGTCTACAGACGTCACATGCAACTCCTGGAACGATTCCATCAGCACCTGAGCTGTGAGTGCAGCATTCTTCCGAATGAAGCAGAGAGTGTTTGAGGACTGGGACATCCGTAGGGAGACCAAGGGGCTTGTTCATAAAGCTATTGTCCTCCCAACCCTGCTATGTGCCTGCGAGACGTGGACTGTCTACAGACGTCACATGCAACTCCTGGAACGATTCCATCAGCACCTGAGCTGTGAGTGCAGCATTCTTCCGAATGAAGCAGAGAGTGTTTGAGGACCGGGACATCCGTAGGGAGACCAAGGGGCTTGTTCATAAAGCTATTGTCCTCCCAACCCTGTCGTATGCCTATGAGACGTGGACTGTCTACAGACGTCACATGCAACTCCTGGAACGATTCCATCAGCACCTGAGCTGTGAGTGCAGCATTCTTCCGAATGAAGCAGAGAGTGTTTGAGGACTGGGACATCCGTAGGGAGACCAAGGGGCTTGTTCATAAAGCTATTGTCCTCCCAACCCTGCTATGTGCCTGCGAGACGTGGACTGTCTACAGACGTCACATGCAACTCCTGGAACGATTCCATCAGCACCTGAGCTGTGAGTGCAGCATTCTTCCGAATGAAGCAGAGAGTGTTTGAGGACCGGGACATCCGTAGGGAGACCAAGGGGCTTGTTCATAAAGCTATTGTCCTCCCAACCCTGTCGTATGCCTATGAGACGTGGACTGTCTACAGACGTCACATGCAAATCCTGGAACGATTCCATCAGCACCTGAGCTCTGAGTGCAGCATTCTTCCGAATGAAGCAGAGAGTGTTTGAGGACCGGGACATCCGTAGGGAGACCAGGGTGCTTGTTTATAAAGCTATTGTCCTCCCAACCCTGCTATATGCCTGCGAAATGTGGACTGTCTACAGACGTCACATGCAACTCCTGGAACGATTCCATCAGCACAGCCTCAGCATTTTTCCTGAATGAAGCAGAGTGTTTGAGGACCAGGACATCCATAGGGATACCAAGGGGCTTGTTGATAAAGCTATTGTTCTCCCAACCCTGTCGTATTCCTGTGAGACGTGGACTGTCTACAGACGTCACATGCAACTCCTGGAACGATTCCATCAGCACCTGAGCTGTGAGTGCAGCATTCTTCCGAATGAAGCAGAGAGTGTTTGAGGACTGGGACATCCGTAGGGAGACCAAGGGGCTTGTTCATAAAGCTATTGTCCTCCCAACCCTGCTATGTGCCTGCGAGACGTGGACTGTCTACAGACGTCACATGCAAATCCTGGAACGATTCCATCAGCACCTGAGCTCTGAGTGCAGCATTCTTCTGAATGAAGCAGAGAGTGTTTGAGGACCGGGACATCCGTAGGGAGACCAAGGGGCTTGTTCATAAAGCTATTGTCCTCCCAACCCTGTCGTATGCCTATGAGACATGGACTGTCTACAGACGTCACATGCAACTCCTGGAACGATTCCATCAGCACCTGAGCTCTGAGTGCAGCATTCTTCCGAATGAAGCAGAGAGTGTTTGAAGACCGGGACATCCGTAGGGAGACCAAGGGGCTTGTTGATAAAGCTATTGTCCTCCCAACCCTGTCGTATGCCTATGAGACATGGACTGTCTACAGACGTCACATGCAACTCCTGGAACGATTCCATCAGCACCTGAGCTGTGAGTGCAGCATTCTTCCGAATGAAGCAGAGAGTGTTTGAGGACCGGGACATCCGTAGGGAGACCAAGGGGCTTGTTCATAAAGCTATTGTCCTCCCAACCCTGTCGTATGCCTATGAGACGTGGACTGTCTACAGACGTCACATGCAAATCCTGGAACGATTCCATCAGCACCTGAGCTCTGAGTGCAGCATTCTTCCGAATGAAGCAGAGAGTGTTTGAGGACCGGGACATCCGTAGGGAGACCAAGGGGCTTGTTCATAAAGCTATTGTCCTCCCAACCCTGTCGTATGCCTATGAGACATGGCCTGTCTACAGATGTCACATGCAACTCCTGGAACGATTCCATCAGCACCTGAGCTCTGAGTACAGCATTCTTCCGAATGAAGCAGAGAGTGTTTGAGGACCAGGACATCCATAGGGATACCAAGGGGCTTGTTGATAAAGCTATTGTTCTCCCAACCCTGTCGTATTCCTGTGAGACGTGGACTGTCTACAGACGTCACATGCAACTCCTGGAACGATTCCATCAGCACCTGAGCTGTGAGTGCAGCATTCTTCCGAATGAAGCAGAGAGTGTTTGAGGACTGGGACATCCGTAGGGAGACCAAGGGGCTTGTTCATAAAGCTATTGTCCTCCCAACCCTGCTATGTGCCTGCGAGACGTGGACTGTCTACAGACGTCACATGCAAATCCTGGAAC